CGCGTTCATAGCTGGCGATGTGACGAAATCCGGAATTGTCGAATTCGCGAAAAGCATCAGATACGTTTTGATTTGGAGAAATGACGAAATGTAGAAATGCAGAGTTAACGAATAGAACTATATGCGTGTCGATTTTCGGCAATCGGTTAGTTCTGCGTTTCGCCATTTCTGCATTTTCGCATGCTATGAACGCGACCTTAGGTAAAGTTCTTGTCAACGTTATTGTTCTTTCATGACAGATAGGGATAGCGTGAGCACGTATTGGAGTGATAGCAGACATGTCTGGTGCCAATGCGCCGTTGAGAAGCTATTCCCGTCCGCTTGGTGCATTACAATCGTTTTATGTCGCTGTATTTACTGCGGTACATCTTAAGTGGTATCAAAAGTGGATGAATCCACATGTCTTCCGCAGAAGGCAGAGCTGGACGGCAACAGTAATGCTACTCAGAGAACGGCCTGTGGAACGTTTTGTGGCCTTATTAACATTCAGGTAAGAGAGGCGGACGTAGTGTAGTGACAAGTGACGCGCACCATGCGCACGACTCGAGGTCATCTCCCGTTCGGCGCTCGCGTTACGGCGAACGAAGCCATCTACCAGTCGGGAATGGGTACCATATTCGTCTGGGAGTGGATGAGAACATTGACGTGAACAGGGGCTCGTCCCCAAAAGTGATTCTATTAGCCATATCGCATTCAATAAGCCACTATGAATATCTGTAATGACAACAACTGGTATAAGGGATTAATAGTCGGTGAATCATTTTTTCTAGTTCTGTTTAGGTAAGAAGAAGAAAAAGCGGGTAAGATTCAATGAAGATTGCGTGCAGAGCGAATGTAGTGCGAAAGACATAGATAAGCTATTTGATGCAGCCGAGGAAAAGATGTCGAGAGTCTCAAAGTTCACAGTGGACAAGTCGTTTTCCCATTTTGAATGATTCCCACTAAAAATATTCCGTTTCGTCTAGGTTGCGAAGAAAATTCGAGAGGAAGAGCAAGAAGAATCGGCCACACCGAAAGAAGAGAAGAGAAAGAAAAAATCGAGGAAAAACGAGGCAGAGCAAAAGAAAGATGAAGCTGTTGATATTTCTCTAGATCCTAAGAATTTCCTCCAGGTATTACTGAAAGTCCCTAAGTTGCTTTCTGCAAAACATACTGCATTAAAGGTTGAAACGACGAATTTATCAAAAGTATCAGCCGAACTTATGGACAAGATGGATGAATTTGATGAAGGTTATTGAATTTAAAGTTCTTATTTATCTTTGAAGTGCTCTCAGTTTACACTCCCATGTTGAGTCTCTTAACTGATAGGCGTCTTCAGGCTGGTCCTCCAGTAAACTCGATGTTATCTGCTGCTGAAGTTCTCAAATCGTTTCCCTTGTGCCGACGGATTTTTTCATCTTTTTGGAAGCCTAATGTGTCGACCGGCTCGTTCACCGGGGGTCTTAACCATAATTACATACCTCTAGGCGAAAGCCTATTTACCCTGAGCTGGCAATCAAAAACCGTCATAAGATAAACGCGCCCATTTCGTCACAAGCGGAGAGCTCGCTGTTTGTTATCGTTAACTAATAACATACTCACCAAGGGGCAGGAGGTGGTGTAGTGACAAGTGGCACGCTCACCACTGGCGCGGTCCTGGGTTCAAATTCCCGGTCACGCCGCCCGTCCAGCCAACCATTACCCCACCACGGACCCAATTAATGGTACCAGCGAAGCGATAATCTGGGAGGATAATACGCTGATTTATCGGTTGGGCGCCGCAAGTCATTGTATAAGCCACATAGCATTCGATAATCCACTACGATTCTGAATGAAAGTAGAATGCGTGCCGCATCCCACACATTGATCAACGGCGATGACCTTATCCGTTATACTCACCAAATTAGCATACTCATTTGTTGATGTCGTAGTTTAGATCAAGCTCATGTCATCGCTGAAGCATTCAAGGATGACGATGTCATTGGTGATTTCGAAGAGGAGAAAATGATGGTAATTGATAAATTCATTTATTTTCCAATAAAATAAGTGATGCCAGATTACATCAGATTTATTGTACGAACTGTCACTGGGTGTAATAAGCCGCATGCTGACTGGAGTAAGCAAATTTTCTCCATCTTTTCTTTTCTCTTTCCTTGAACTTTAATGTGCCACGTCTGGGCGATTACTGGATTTTGAGGATATTTGTGTTTAGCTCATAGGACTTTGTGACTGACCTTGTGGTATTGCGGTAAGATATACTGTAAACATCATTCGCTGTTCGTGAAAAGACTGCATTTCTTATGAACGTGGTTTCAGGTGGAGGAAGGCGAGCGACCAAAGGACGTCGATCTGACGCTACAAGGGTGGGGATGCTGGGTTGGTCCCGGTATGACAGAAAGAAAACGACGCAAACAGTTTATCATAAAGGCTAGGGAAAAGAAGCGCAAAGATAAAAATCGACCTGGAGTTATTATCAAAGAAGTTGAGGAGAAGGTAATTAATAGTTTCTTTTCACGACGTTTTGGAAATGTTTCATAACACTGTTCTTCTTTATACTCCATATTATTGCATTCTAATGTAGCATTCTGCACTGACATACAATATTTTTAGCTTCACTTAGTTGTAGCAGTGATTGATCGGCAGAAAGTTGGTTAAATTGGTTTAATCTATTGTTTTCAGAGCATAAGCAAACTTCAACCAACTAGTCTTCCGTTCCCCTATACAAGCGTAGTGGATTTCGAAACCATGGTCTCACAACCCATTGGCAAAGACTGGAATCCAATAGGAGTTGTACAAGAAATGTGCAAGCCATCAGTCGTAACTCAGGTAAATATTGCTCACATGTCTCAGTCACTGAGTGAAAGTCTTCTGATTTGCACTGTATATAGCTAATGTTTCTGTCGTTGTGAAACAGCTTAGCAGCGTTCAGGCTTCGTAATGACGCGCCCCGACCCCTGCAGTTGTCTGGTATCGATCAGAACTAGTCACTGACCAGTTCTGATCGATACCAGACTGCGTGGTTTGCAACGTTCCTTCATACTCTCTCAACAAGAGCGGTCGGCACCGATCGATTACTACCTGCTGCATCGTTCGCGCCTGCAGCCTTGGGGCGCAGCGGCACCTGTGGCACGTCACAGCGTGTCGAACCGCGTCATGGCGAATTGTGAACGTTGCCTTAGTATGAGTACACGCTTGGCACGAGACTTTTGTGCAGACATAAAATCGAATTTTATAGGGCGGCCGTTCTATAAGACCGATGAGCAAAGAGGATGTTCTTGCTGGAAAATTAGCCCTCGACGCAGACTAGACAGAAAAGATAATTTTTTGTTACGTATTGTTGATGTACTATTGTTGAAAATCAGAATTGTTATGAGCAAGTTGTTGTGTTTGAGAAAAAAAATATTATTCTGCCCGCATTGTGGAATTTGAAGGTTTTATCCTTGAATATTGGTTGATTCTCTTCCTCGAAATTACTCCGATTCCCCCACATCTTGAGATGTTGTTCAAAAGGTTTCACAAGCAGGTTTCATCATGGCAGACGATGATGACTATCAAGATATGGACAATGACGATTTTGTCGACGATGATGTTGAAGACGTGGATTTGGAACAGGGAGAAGATGAACAGGACGATCATCGAATTGATATTATAAGTGTAAGTTCTTTGTTTGAGCACACTCTGTATGTTAAATCGATAATCGTGCGTGAATTCATATCAGGTGTCCCAAGGCAGGCGCAGGAGTGAATGATTGAAGCTACTTTTCAGGCAGAAAAAGGAACAGCGTCTACGGACCGTGTGACGACTCCATTCATGACCAAATATGAACGTGCTCGAGTGCTTGGTACACGTGCTCTTCAGATTGCTATGGGTGCACCGGTGATGGTGGAATTGGAAGGAGGTAATGCTCCTCTTCCGAGTTTAAGAAAGTACCGTCCCAGTGTAACCACTCATACTCAATATTCCGTATCAGTATCTCCGATAAAAACGCAGTTTTAAAGCGGACGGCAGATCGCTACGATAGGTGTAGATCTGCCCACTATTTTGTTTAGCAACCTTAGTCATTCTGGTCAAAGGCAAACTACGGGTACAGCATCGTGACGTGTGAGGTGATGGTGTAGGTACGACCCTCCCCCTCTTGAGGGAGAGCCATGGTACGACCCTCTTTCGCTCGCTCCTACCTACCAATTTCCCCACATTTTCCAGTTTTTCAGATTTCCGAAGAGAGAGAGAGAGAGAGGGGAGAGGGAAGAAGAGGGAGAGCAGAGAAGAGAGGAGAAGAGAGAGGGGGGGGGGGTAAATAGTACACAGGAAACGGGAAAAACCGCAAAAAGTCAGCAACAGGGAAAAGTTTATTCCCAACGCGGCAAATTTCTATCAAAGCCACAATATGGCCTATCCTCTCTCTCCCAACAACGACCAAATACGACCTCCCCCTCTCCCCAGCCGAAAAGTACGACCTCCCCTACGTGTTCACACAACAATGTTGTACCCTGTGAAAATGGTGCTGAAGAGTAGTGATGCCCGAGTGCCGTCTCGATTCCACCACGCTATTCTCAAGACACAGCACCTACGGGGGGGGTCTACCAGGGGGGCCAAAAAAAGTCATTTTGCCTCCATGACTTTCAAGGCGCTATAAGTTACACTTTATTAAATTTTTATCGGACATTTTTACTACCATATTAAAGAGCACATTAAATATATACTCCGCCACAGCCTTCTGGAGGAGCGCCATCGAGAGATTCGGCCGCGCGAAAGTGAGTGGGTACCGGAGTTGAGCGAGATCGTTGATTTCTCCGCCACTGTAGACCACCCTGTTGAGCTCCGCCCGAACTAGGTAATTGAGTGGGTTTAGGTCAGGGGACATATTTCAATATTACATCTTCATCAGGTACGAAACGCCCTTCCATTCGAAGTAGGCGGGAGTTTTTCCAAAACCCTTCGATTCCATGGTGGCACCCAAACCTGTAGCAGCACAAGGTCTCCAAGAAGGTACGGGCGACCACATGTAGGGAGGATATTCTTCTCGAGTTACTTGATGTAACCGCCAGCGCTCACCTTCAGTCGGGGTCTACAAAGAAAATATCGGTCTTCCCATTCCAGGTACGGCCGGTCCACACCATCAACCCGCGCCTTGGTGAATGGGGTGAAGATGATGTCCTGGACCGTAGCGACGTTGCCGGAGCTGCTCGATGTTGAGGTCTTGCAGATCAAGAGTACTGGTCTCCAGGTAGCTATCCATGGGTGATTCCATTCAAGAAGTTCCGCAGCTGTTTGGAGGCCACGTGAATTCCAAAGGCGTTCTCCACTCAGGCCGCGACTGGAGATGACTTCATATTTTGGTGTACATGAAGGTGAATGGCGGCAGCCGGCTCCTGCTTATAGAGGAAGATCTTGGGTATCTTCCGCCCTGGTACTCATATCCACTTCCTCTGTCTGGGCTGCGAAAACTTCGCTCATATGTGACTCGGCCGGAATGACTTTTTTTTGCCCCCCCCCCCTGTATATGATAATAGAAACCTCGCAGCGAATCGTTGTTGGTCAGGCTGTGCTAATGCAAAATTCCGCGCAGTGTGCGGGATTGGAGAAGAAGAATGTATACGTATCGATCTGATGAATCCGAAGGTTCCGCGGAATCTGCAGACTCCGCAGAGTGCACGATGTTGGAAGCAACAGCGAAATTCATCTGTGCTTTTCTGGAGATTCCGCGGAATTCGATACCAATCCGGTATCGGTTCCAATTACGTATGTATCCTTGTTCTGCAGATTTATGCATTCTGTGGTCTGCGGACTCACGGAACCTTGTACATGATCGCATCCGAAGAGGTACAGAACAATTAGAAGTGAGAGGGTGCAGACAAGTAACGCGTTAGGTTATAAGGACGCGTGGCAGCAGCGCGGGTGGAGTCTAGAAAAGGCACACTGGTGTTACTCCTCCAGACCCATTCCTTCGCCTTTTCCAATGAAAAATATGGCACGCTTGTGCAGCTCTGATCTCATTCACGCAGTTCATGGAGATCCACGGAGATGAGTGTACAGTTTGTCCACAACCAAAGCACATTTGAAATTCAGACACTAGTTACGAGTGGGCCCATGAACGATCTCATAGATAAATTTTTTTTCAGAGTGCGCGTTTTGTGCCCAGTGCATAGCGAGCGTAATTCTAATAAGTAATGATGTATACATACTTTTTTAGAAACAGATCCATTGGAAATTGCTCGCAAAGAACTGAAACATCGCCGTATCCCAATCATTGTTCGACGATATCTACCAGATGGCTCATTTGAAGATTGGTCCGTCGATCAGCTGCATGTGACCGACTGGTGATATGACTGATCGTGTGATTTCTGTTTTCTGTTACTGTATTTCTCATGTTCTGTTACCTGTTGATCTTCAAGAGTCTTCCACATATTTGATTGTATCTTATTTGGACTTGTTTGCATCTTATTTAGAACTTTGGACACACTCTCTTTGTAATAAAGTGATTGAGGACTGTTCGAACCTAGACAAGCAGAGATGTGTAACTGCATTGCAAAAGCCTACCAATTTCATCAGAGTAGACGTTATTGGCGTCGTCACGGATCATGAGCGATTTATGCGAGTTGTCCTGTGCAGATTATGTGACGATGTGAAGTGTGAATGACGGCCTGCGCGCTCCTGCCGCAATCCGTCCTAACGAGCACCTTCTTGTTCAAGTTACAACAAGTCGCGTTGTACGCACTAATCATAGGTGCACAGTGGTGATCCACTGAAGGAGCTATACCATTTTCGCTTGAAATTCACCACTTTTCGAACTATAATCACCGCTTCTCGAAGCGAAATCTCTTT